AATTTGAGTTGAATTACTGAAATAAATGAACTTTTCCACGACATTCTAATTTATTGAGATGCACCTGTATCCGTCCTGTTCACTCATTGAGCGTTCTCTTCTCCCTATCATTACTAGACACACCCCTTACTGATTGTCAGCAAATATTGCTTATTGCACCTTTAATAGTGTGTTAAATTTACATTGCTAAGATCTACAGCATTCTGGGAGGTGGGTCTTTATGACTGGAATTGAGAAACACTGCCATAAAGCATGTCTTAAAGTATGCTCAGTGTCTCCAGTGAACAGCCAAAGGTAATTTGGCAAAGTAAAAGCTGGGTCACAAGTAGTCAAGGGAAATACATTCCCATTTACTCCTGTTGTTTTAATCCATCGTATTTGTCCACTTATGACCACTTCTTTGAGGGTCTATGGGCAGGTCACTCTTAATTCAGTCACAATAACTGAGCCCCGTCTTATCTGTCAAACTTGTTGAGCCCATATAATCCCACTAGAAATCTGAAAACCAAAAAAAAATTTCGCTGCCCCATGCATATTAGGTCATTCCAGTCTCTATCAACATTTTTATCCATCTTTAGAAATATAATGCCGTTTTAACCTTTTAATGTTTACATTTTGTTGATGTAGTGTCTTTTGTATGTTGTGATCAGTTCTGTGCCATCCTCTACATTCCACTATCAGTCCCACATCAGGGAGGACAAAACTGAAGCAGTCCTGCAGAAACACACACCGGACACTGGAGACCAGCAGAGTGTCAAAGACCAGCACAAAACCAGCATGAAGATCAAATATGAGAGATTATTAGAGGGAATGAAACTCCAAGATAATTAAATCTTCCTGAGCAGGACACACACCTCTACATCATAGAGGGAGTGAGAGAATGAGTGAATGAAGAACATGAGGTTTTACAGATGGAGAAAACAGCCAGAACAAAACACTCACAAGACACTCCAATCTACTGCAATTACACCTTTAAAGCCTCAGCTGAACCAGGATCTGAGGAGAAAGAGCAGATCAAGACTGTTCTTACTAAAGGCATCGCTGGAATCGGAAAAACCGTCTCTGTGCAGAAGTTCATTCTGGACTGGGCCGAGGGAAAAGCCAATCAGGATGTAGATTTCATGTTTGTGCTTCCATTTCGAGAGCTGAACTTGATCCGAGATCATCAGTACAGTCTTCACAGACTTCTGCTGGACTTTCATCCTGAACTTCAAGATCTGGACTCACAGATTTATGAGGAGTGTAAAGTTGTGTTCATCTTTGATGGTCTGGATGAAAGCAGAATCACACTGATGTTTTCAGACGCTCAGAAAGTTTGTGATGTGACTGAGACTTCATCAGTGGCTGTGTTGATGTCAAACCTCATGAAAGGAGAGCTGCTTCCCTCTTCTCTCATTTGGATCACCTCCAGACCAGCAGCAGCCAATCAGATCCCCTCTAAATACATCCACCGTCTGACAGAAATTCAGGGCTGTGATTCATCAGAGGAAAGTCTACAGCTTCATCCATCTGAGCGTTCAGGTTCTCGCTGCTTTCCATGTGTTTTACTGCTATTTAAGCAGCACCACTGATACCCTTAAGGTTATTGTTTCAATGCATGATTTGCTGAAAGGTGCAGTAGATAAAGCTGTTGAGAGTAAGAATGGACACCTGGATCTGTTCCTGCGGTTCCTGCTGGGCGTCTCACTGGAGTCAAATCGGTCTGCACACGCAAACAAAGCCAAAACCTAGATATTTTAGGCAATATAGAAATCCTGGCCAGGACACGTCCTGGGAAAATGGCACGTATGGTCACCCTACTTTACATTAAAGAGAAGATCAAAAACGGACAAGCAGTCTCCACTGAGCGATCCATCAATCTGTTCCTCTGTCTGCTGGAAGTGAAAGATCAGACTCTGTCCAGAGAGATTCAGGAGTTTGTGAAATCAGACAAACACTCAGAGAAGAAACTCTCTCCTGCTCACTGCTCAACAATCACCTACATGCTTCAGATGTCAGAGGAGTCGCTGGATGAGCTGGACCTCATGAAATACAGCACATCAGATGAGGGGAGAAGAAGACTGATACCAGCTGTTATCAACTGCAGAAAAGCTCTGTGAGTGTTTAGTCATGGCTTAATCATTTAATTTGAATGTCTTTTACAAGAATTAAGCTGATATTATTGAAATCCAAGTAGAAGAATAAGGTTAATAATTTAATTATCCTGTGTTTCACTCTCTTTCAGTCTTGCTGGCTGTAATCTCACTGCTCAGCATTGTGAAATTGTGTCATCAGCTCTTACATCCTCAATCTCTGTCCTGAGAGAGCTGGATCTGAGTAACAATGACCTGCAGGATTCAGGAGTGAAGCTTCTCTCTGATGGACTGAAGAGTCCAAACTGTCAGCTGAAGATACTGAGGTATTAAGAACATATAAAAGATGATGCATAGTTAGTTGGTCATAATGTTAATGTGTGTCTGTAGATGGTCTGACTGTGTGTCTGTAGATGATCTGACTGTGTGTGTCTGTAGATGATCTGACTGTGTGTTTGTAGATGATCTGTGTGTGTCTGTAGATGATCTGTGTGTCTGTAGATGATCTGACTGTGTGTGTCTGTTGATGATCTGGCTGCGTGCGTCTGTAGATGATCTGACTGTGTGTCTGTAGATGACCTGATTGTGTGTGTCTGTAGATGACCTGATTGTGTGTGTCTGTAGATGACCTGATTGTGTGTGTCT